TTCTTGTGTTGAGGGAGTACTTGAGTGGAGGCCAATGTCCTTCTGCTACCTTAATACTAAACCTATAAATGTAGGCTCATAGATCTATTTCCCCGGAAGATGAGGTTTTCTACTGTAAATATTTACAGCCTCAACAACCCTCAGGGGCAGTTTGACCTTGTCCTACAGAGTTCTTCTGCATCAGAATTGACTCAATGGAAGTGAGTTTGTATGGTGTAAAGTCAGCAAGGGTGGATGTCAGGATGGACACACCATATTTATTCAATCTGTATGTTGAGTAAATAATTGAAGAAGCTGGACTAGGATTGGAGGAAGACTCATACAAGGCAGGCTAATCCACCTCACTTGCTGAAAGCGCTAAGAACCTGAAGCACTCAGTGCATTCCACCTCCCCTGCATCAAGAGAGCAGACACCCTCCCAACGAGACCCATACACCACGGCATGGAAAAGGGCGAAAAGCCTGAAGGTGTCAACGATCTCGTTTCACTTGGGTCCCCCATCAGGGCTCATGGAAGGAGCAGCCAAGAAACCAAACAACATATTGTATTTGGGCAAATATATTGCCTTTTTTTTTTTTTTAAGAAACCCTTTCAAATGTGTTAAAAGGCAAAGATATCACTTTGAGTATTCAGGTGCACCTGTTCTAAAGCCATGATATTTTCAATTGTCTCTTGCATGTGAACGTTAGACAATGCATAAGGACGGCCAAAGAAGAATTAAAAGCTATTGTAGGGGAAAAAAAGAATAAGGGTTTCTGAGGGGTGGGGTAGCAGAGGGAGGGGATAGAGGGGAGCTGATATCAAGGAGTTCCAGAAGAAAGAACATGTATTGAAACGGATGTGCTTGTTGACTATATGGCTCCCCTCTCCCCAGACTGCGGGCTCCTAAGCAAGCTGGCCCCCTCCCTCCCTATCCCAGGCATCCGTCCAGTCATGCGGGACATTCACTAAGCAACTGCTGAGTACAGACTCTCTTACCTCTTTAACCTATGTTGTTGTTTTTCACCCTGGGTTGGTACTTTAAGAAGTTGATGACTGCTCTTAATCCTAATTAGAAACGTATGACATCATCTCATTTGAGACCAAAGGTCCACTGGGAATGCATCGCAGAAATTCTATTCTATCCCCCAGGAGAGAGTTCAGAAGAGCAGGACCTTTGGCTGTGCACAGAGCAAGGCAGGCGGGATCTTTGTCTGAGAAAAGTAATGGGATCTCATTCGTCGGGGTGGGGGGGCCCCCGTGGGGAGGGGGGGATCTGGTTCTGCCTGAAGCAGAGCTGTTGGCAAAAGCACTTCAGAAGCAATAATGCAAGCAAAGCAAAATCCCGCTGTTGGCACCCGGTTGGCATCCACAGCTGTAGACTTGTCAGAAAGCTGGTCCCGGCTAGAAATAACTACTGAGTTCTTGTCTCTGATTTCAGCCTTTACAGTGAATTAAGGGCTGTGGCTGTTGAACAAAATGAACGTTGAGTAAATGTGGGACGGGCAGACGTGACCCGGGCAAACGCTGTGCAGTGCAACAGTGACCAGCACAAACGAAGAGAGTCGGCCGAAGCACAACAGTGGCCCTAATTGCAATAAATCCAAGTATTTAATGACTTAGGTACTTGAGAGCTCTTACAAACCAGTAAGAAAAACACAATCCCAAAGAAAAACCTGGGGAAATATCTGAAAAGAGATGTCTCAGAAGATCCAGATAAATACCAATAAATCTATTAAAGTTTTCAACTTCAATTAGTAATCAGGAAAAGACTTCAATAAAATCACAATATACCATTCAACTCTCCCCAAGTAAATTTAAAAATTTTTTTTAGATAAAGTGATAGCAAGAATGCGAGCTTCTCATAAGCTCTTAGTAGGAGAGTATATTGGGGCTATAATGCTTGAAAAAGCTCTTGCTATGATCTAGTGTAGTTGAGGGCAAACATGCACTGTGATCCAGCAACTCTCCTCTTCGTTATATACCTCTGTTATATGCCGATGCCCACGTGTACCTGGCTAACATTTTCAAGACTGTTCACAGTAGTTCTTTCCCAAACAGAGGGGGGGGGCTTCAAAAAGTTCACGGAAAATTTCCCTATTTTTTCATTCCGTTTCTCCACGAACTTTTGAAAGCCCCCTCTGATCCTAAAACTGGCAACCCACATTGTCCATCCACAGGTGAAGGGGGAAATGGGAGCGTCATCTAATGGAAATTTAACGCTGAAAGTCAGTAGAGACATCCAACAGCACTGATGACATGTGATGGGACGCAGCAAGACACGAAAGAACAGGAAGATGTCAGGCGTGTAGCGCTCAAAGGCAGGCAAACTCCTGGCGGATCTCTCCGGTAAAACAACGAGATGCTTAGTCTCCTCGCACAGGACGCGGGGAGGGAGAGGCTGATCACGAGACCTTTGGGGGGGTGGGCAGTGGTGGTGTTTCTAACTGTGGTTTGGGTGCAAGTTTGCAAAGCAGCTCGTCTTCTGGTCAGTCAGTTGAACACATGCTGTTTCTGACCGCACATGGCCACGCCCTCCGAGTTAACAGCACTCTTACTCCTTCCCGGGTTCCCCATTTCCGTTCCTCTGCCCTTCCGGCCCCTTCCTGCCTTCTCGGCTTTGTTTCGGGGGACAGGCTGCCCACAGTCAGATGATCTGACTGCACTGCCAGTGCTCTGCTCCTTCACTTTGGCGGTAGTTTAATGAGATTGCGCCCAGGATTACCTTTTCAATTGTGTGTTCGTATAATGTAGCCAATTTCCTGTCAACATACTTCACGAGAAACAACAATGAAGAGCACTTCCACCAAATGAACCAACAAAACAAACACACCAAAACACAGTCTACAATCGCGTGAATTCATTTCTGAAACTCTGAGTTCATTTGAACCCAGCGGATGAGGCCACGGGACATTTCAAATTATTTAGAACACACATAGGGAGAAAGGAGGGCATAAGAGCCTGAGGTGGTGATAGAGGAAGGAACGGCTAGTGAAGCCAGGACGGGCAGAGAGAGGGGCTGTATGCTGGGGGGAGCTGTGCCTAGAACGCCCACCACTGAAAACCAGCCACGCTGCCCTTCTGTCTTCGCCTTCAAGACCCAGGACAGCTGCCACTCTCTCTGGAAAACTGTCCTCGGCCCCACGTCGCTCGCCATTGTGTCTGAAGCACCTCGTTCCAATAGGTTCTTCCCTCAGGGAGCACTTCTCTGGGTGTGGTTTCCCACGTGAGGCCCCCAAACGCAGTGAGTACCCTCTGACCCCCACCTGCCCTCTTCGACCAGCACCTGACAAGAAGGAGCAGCCCAGCGGATCCTTGTGAAACGCATGAGTCGACTCAAGAATGCTTTACCTTCAGCTGCAGTTCCTTGTATCTCTTGGACATCCGGATGAGCAGCTTCTCACCATTGATCACCGCGGACTTGTCCTGGTAATACTGGACCATGGCCTGGGCAGCTTCAGTGTAAGCCATCTCCAGAAAGGCCTAGGGAAGAGGGAGGGACAACATGGTGGGCTTCCACACGGAGATGTCTGCAACCCAATAGAGCGCAAGGCTGGAGTCCACTGTGATGAAGGTCCGCCAAGAACAGGCCGCAGGAGTGGGTGCTGAAGGGGTCAAGAGTGGTGCTTCCCTCGAGGGGTGGGGGGACAGACTGGGTTGGAGCCGCATGAAGAGCTTCTGGCTTTCTGGAAACGCCCTGTATCTTGATTCTGGGTGGTAATAACACGGCGCACACATGTAGAAAATTAATGGCGCTGTCCACTGAAGGTTAGTGCACTTTAGAGCATCTATTTCATACCTCAATAAAAAGGGAAGACTTCAGCCCAAGGAAGAACTCTCTTTGATCTCATCTGCTCAGAGAGCAATGTATTAATGTCACCCAAAGAGATCCTAAGACGACCCCTCTCCTCATTCCCATACTGTCCCTTGATTATGTATATCCAGCTAGGGATACATTAGGCCACAGAAGCCTCTGGGGGGCAGGGGGTGGAGATGGGTCCATTAACCCCCAGTTCCTCAGTGTCTGTTGCACATACGGCCCCAGACTGACCCTCAAAAAGCTCAGTTTGTTGGTGCCTAAAATGGAAGACTAGGCCTGGTGATGGTCTTGGGTAAGCACTGGACTGCTAGCGACAGGTCAGCAGTTCAAATCCACCAGCCGCTCCTTGGCAGAAAGATGAGGCATCCCCTCCCATAAGGTCGAGAGCCCCAGCCATCCCATCCTATCAGGGGCACTGTGAGCCGGAGAGGACTTCAGGGTAGTGGGGACGGTATGGTAAGGGGCAGCATTGCAAGCTCCTGTGTCCCAAGATTTCCATTTCTTTACAAAGAGAGAGATACACTCTCCCAATCGGGGGCCCATCAACCCCCAGGCTGTGTCTGCGTGAGAGAAAGAGGTGAAACCCCATCCTGTTTCCACCGCACGCGGCCTCCGAATGTAACCGCTCTAATAAAACACGGAGAAAGAGAGGGCTTTTCCATTCCATCTAAGGGCAGTGTTTGGACGGACTGGTCAGCCAGCCCCAGGCGCTGCTGTGCCAGCAGCTGCTTGGGCTTCTTCGCTTTGCTTGGTTTGTACGGCGTGTGGAGAGGTCTGTGGCCACGGAGCCACTGACCATTTCTGGGCAGAATTCCTAACAGTTTGAACAAGCCCCCTCCCCCCTCGCACGTCTGGCTGAATTTCAAATGCACAGCCTTTCTCCACGCGGTCACAGCACAAGTGTGCACGACTCAGAGGTCAAAGTTCTCTGGAGCTCTCTCTCCAGTTCCGCCGCTCCGCGGTCCTGGGTCTCTTCCTGAAGGCAAACACGGTAGCACCTCCAGCTCTTACCTGTCAGGTGGCGCTGATATGAAGCCAGAGAATCTCAGGGCCTGTGTATTTACCCAAACAAAATGTCTGCACTTAGCAAGTCTAACACAGACGAAGAGAGAGGGGTCAACACGCAGGCTGATGGAGGAAGACCGTGCATGAGCTGGTGTGGCCGAGTCTCTGAAGTTCAGGCCTTGGCTAAGACAGTCATTCGTCCTATGGCCAGTCCTCAGATTCATCAAGAAAAAAAAACATGGTCTGTTTTTAAGATGTTCTGATTTTGGACTCCTTGTGATATAAACTTCCCCTTTGACTTTAGAAAGGAAAACAGACAGTCCTGAATGTTCAGCTGCTTCTCCCGGGGTAAGAGTTCCTAGTTCCTCAGCTCCTTAGACATCGCTGACGTCTGTCAATTCCCAGTGGGTCTCTTGCTCCAAGGACCCAGAGCCTTAGTGGTTAATGGTAAGGAGCAGTAAAAGTGCCCATTGCAGCCAGTTCTGGACCGACTCAGGCCATTGGATATGAGAAGCTAAGAAGGTAAAACTGGGCAGGAGGCTGGCAACCCAGTGAGAGACTAAAGTCCCCAGATTTCTCTTTGGGGGGGCCAGTCAGGTTGCCTATTCCATCGAGCACCCTCTTCCAAAGCACCACCTCCACTCCGGGTACTTCGCAAAAGGACCCATCCAAGGGTTAAAGAGAGAGCGAGGAAACAAAACGCCACCTCTGTGGAGTACCATCAAGAGATCAGTGGCGTGTCGCCTCCTTATGTTAAAACCACTTCCACAAAAAATAAAAATAAAATAAAAAGATAGACCGAGCTCTCCCCAGTGTGTGGTCTCGCCCAAACATCCCGGTGTGAAAGCGCCCGGACCTACCTGATTAGTGGACTTCATGAGGATATAATTCGTGACCTTCCCAAAGGGCAGCCCCAGGTGAATGACGTCGTTCTCCGTGCAGCTTCCTTCCGGGAGGTTGCAGATGTGCACCACGCGGCCAGCGCCCGCCTTCCGCTGTGGGAACTGGGGATCAAAGAAGCCCGGCTGGGGTGCATGGGTCGTGTCCTCTCTCCCTCCACCCCAGACAGTCCCAGCAGCTGCCTTCCCCAGACAGTGACTGTAAGGGTGCCCATTTATAAGACTGAAGCAGAAAGATAAAATAAAAATCCAGAACATAAAAAGAAATATTTGATATCATCTGGTTACAAACAGGATGTGCAGCATGTGAGAAGGGCGATAGCACCCAGGGCTGCCGGACGGAAGAAATCGCCCTGCTTCATAGATGTTGCTCATGGCAGACGGAAGCCTGCTTCATAGATGTTGCTCATGGCAGACGGAAGCCTGCTTCATAGATGTTGCTCATGGCAGGCTGTCCCCTGATAGTCTGAGAACATACCGTGGTGAGCTGACTCATGGCGACCCCCATGCACAATGGAACAAACTACTGCCCAGCCCCGTGCCATCCTCATGGTTGGTTGTGATCCCCTGGGTTTCCCTTGGCTGACTTTAGAAGCAAGTCACCAGCCTTCTTCCTGGTCAGACTGCCTCGATCTGGGGCAGTGGTTCTCCACCTTCCTCATGCCACAACCCTTTCATCCAGTTCCTCATGTGGTGATGACCCCG